AAATTGGTGAGAAAGAAGTGAAACTCTTGCTGTTTGCAGATGACATGGTTCTCTATATAGAAAACCTATCATAAGAAAACTATTGGAAATAATCAACAACTACAGAAAGTTGCAGGGTACAAAATCAGCTTACAAAAATCACTTGCATTTCTATCCTTTAACAACCAGCTAACAGAAAGAGAATTCAAGAATACAATCCAATTTACAATTGCAACAAAAAGAATAAAATATCTAGGAATAAATGTAACCAAGGTGATGAAAGACCTGTACACTGAAAACTAGAAAACATTATTGAAAGAAATTGATGATGACGTAAAGAAATGGAATTATATTCCATGCACACAGACTGGAAGAATAAACATAGTTAAAATGTCCATACTACCTAAAGCAATCTATAGATTCAATACAATCTAAATCAGAATCCCAGTGACATTCTTCATAGACATAGAAGAAAGAATCCTAAAATTCATATGGGACAACAAAAGACCCTGAATAGCTAAAGCAATCCTGAGAAAAAAGAACAAAGCCAGAGGCATCACAATCCCTGAACTCAAAATATACCACAAAGTGATAATAGTCAAAACAGCATGGTATTGGTACAAAAACAGGCACATAGATCAACGGAACAGAATTGAAAGCCCAGAAGTAAAACCACACATCTACAGACAGCTAATCTTCGACAAAGGAGCCAAGAACATACAATGGAGAAAGGAAAGTCTCTTCAATAAATGGTGTTGGGAAAACTGGACAGCCACATGCAAAAGAATGAAAGTAGACAATTATCTTTTGCCATACACAAAATTAAATAAAAACGGATTAAAGACTTGAAGGTAACATACAGAACCATAAAACTCCTAGAAGAAAATACAGGTAGTACACTCTTTGAGATCCATCTTAGAAGCATCTTATTAAGTATCCTATCTACTCAGGCAAGGTAAACTAAAAGAAAAAATTAAACAAATGGGCTTTCATCAGACTAAAGAGCTTTTTTCCTCTGCAAAGCAAAGGAAACCAGGAACAAAATGAAAAGACAACCCACCAACTGGGAGAAAATATTTGAAAATCATATATCCGACAAAGGGTTAATCTCCAAAATATATAAAGAAATCATCCAACTCAACAACAAAAAAACAAACAACCCACTCAAAAAATGGGCAGAGGATATGAACAGACATTTTTCCAATAAGATATACAGATGGTCAACAGGCACATGAAAGATGTTCAACATCACTAATCATTAGGGAAATGCAAATCAAAACTACAGTGAGATATGACCTTACACTTGTTAGAATGGCTATAATTACCAAGACAAGAATAACAACTGTTGAGGAGGATGTGGAGAAAAGGGAACCCTAATACACTGCTGCTAGGAATGCAAACTAGTACAGCCACTATGAAAACAGTATGGAGATTTCTCAAAAGACTAAAAATAGAAAAACCATATGACCCAGCTATCCCACTACTGGGTATTTACCCAAACAACTTGAAATCAACAATTCAGAGACTTATGCTCCCCTATGTTCATTGCAGCACTATCCACAATAGCCAAGACATGGAAGCAATCCCAGTGCCCAACTACTAATGAATGGATAAAGAAGATGTGGTGTATATATATACAATGGAATATTATTCAGCCATAAAAAGACAAAATCGTCCCATTTGAAACAACATGGATGGACATTGAGAGTATTAAAATAAGCCAGACAGAGAAAGATAAACATCATATGATTTCACTCATATATGGAATATAAACAAACACATGGACACAGAGAACAGAGTAGTGATTACCAGAGGGGAAATTGTTTGGGTGGTGGGTATAAGGGGTAAAAGGGCACATGTATATGGTGGCTGACAAATAATAATGTACAACTGAAATTTTACAATGTTATAAACTATTATGAACTCAATAAAAAAAGATACAGCATGAAAATATCAAATTCAAAATGTCTGACATCCTACTAAAAAACTATGTAAAAAGAGTCAAGGAAAATATAACACATAATGAAGAGAAAACTCAATCAATAGAAATGAACCCCAAAATGAAACACATGATAGAATTAGCAAATAAAGACACTGAAATTGTTATTATAACTATATTCTATATCTTAAGAATATAGAAGAAAGATTGAACATGTTAAGTAGAGATATTAAAGATATAAAAAATGATACAAGTCAAATTTTAGAAATGAAAAAACGTAGTTGAGATGTCTCACCTACAGATGAGTGTCTGAGATAAAAATTCACTCAGATTTATATTAGATTAGACATTCCAGAAGAAAAGATTAAGATACTTTAACACACAGCAATAATCAAAAATGAAACTCCAAGAGAAAAAAAGACTGAAAAAAAAGCAGACCTATAATAACTTGTGAAACAACATCAAGTGGCTTAATTTATGTGTAAGCAGAATCCCAAAAAGAGAGAAGGGAATGGAGGTGAAAAAGTATTTGAAAAAATAATGGCAATAATTTTATCAAGTGTGATGAAAATGATAAACCCACACATTAATGAAACTCAACAAACCCCAAGCACAAGAAACAAAAACTAGATGAAGGTATAACATATCGTAATGAAATTGCTTAAAACCAGTGATAAAGAGACAAATCTTAAAAACATCCAAAGAAAAACGACAGCCTACATAGAGGAACAAAAATAAGATTGACAACAGACATCTTGTTAGAAACAATGCAAGTCAGAAGACAATGGAGGCAACATTTTTGAAGTAGTGACAGAAGAAACTGCCAACGTAGAATTCTCTGTTCAGCAAAAATATCTTTCAAAACCAAAGGCAAAGTGAAACTTTTCAAACATATGAAGCTGAAATAATTCATCACCAGCATATCTAAATGACAGGAAATGTTGAAGGAAGTAAGTCAAGCAAAAGGAAGATGATGCCAGACAGAAAGCTGTATCTACACAAAAAAATGAAGAGCACCAGATATGGTAAACATGTGAATCAATAAAAAGACTTTCCCCTTGACGTGTTGTTCAACGGGGGAATGGTTAAACAAATGTGGGGTTTCCATGCCACAGAATACTGTCCACCAACAAAAAGAAATGAATTACTGATGTACATAACCACATGTATCAATTTTTAAATAATTGTGCTAAGTGAAAGAAGCCAGATGAAAAAGCACATAATGTATTATTCCATTTATATAAAATTCTAGAAAATGCAAACCAGTCTATAAAAGCAGATTGGTGATTTTCTGGGGATGATGTGGGAAGAAGGACAGGGAGGGGCTGGAGGAAGGAGTTGCAAAGAAGCATGAAAAAACTTTTTGAGAGATGGATATACTCATTATCTTGACTGTACCAATAATTTCGCAAATGTGTACATATGCCAAAGTGATAAAATTGCACACTCTAAGCATGCATTTTATTGCATGTCAATAAATAAAACTCAGTAAAGCTGTAAAATAATACTTCATCTGAAATGTTTTTAAAAGCTGACATAAGGGAAAAGTAAATAAATATATTTTTTAAATGTTGTAGAAATTTTCTCTCAGATAACACTTTTTATACTATATTTCTTTTTAAATAACTTAGAATAAAACACTCTGTCATCTCCCTAATTTCAAATATAGCCAGCACTACTTCTGTACCTGTCAATGCTCGTTAATTTGTGAAAATTATAGCCTTCAACTGTCATAGTAACACCTGACATTTATATTATGGTTTATAATTCATAATTTAATATACCTCATTATTAATTATATATTAGTTATATAATCATATATTAATTTATCAATATATTAATATACTAAATTTGTGATAACTTGGATGCACAACTTCTCACTTTCTGATTTATAGATGGTGGGAAGTTTTTTAAAAAACATATCAGTCAATGAAACTTTAAACGTAATTTAGAAAACAAGCAGATTTTTAAGCATATGTGAGCCTCCATTTTTATACGAAAAACTGATATATTAACTATACGTTATTCTTTTCTGTTGATTAGTTGATTTTCTGTTGATTGCTCCAAAGGACTGTATTTATTTACCCTGTTATTCTTCTTTAAGTATGCTTTTAGTTTTGTCCTTCCACTAATAAAATATTCTCTATTATTTTACAATAATATCATAATCATAGTGATTATGAATATGATTCCTTGCAATTATATCAAATTAATTCCTGATTTTAAATACTGATCTCTCAATAGGTTGGTCTAAACCACCACCACTCATTATTTGTGTTTTCTACATATGTTAAGTTCTAAGTATATGGAACAATAATCCCCAGCGTCTAGGCCTCAGTGATGTCACCTATAAATAACACAACTCTAGTCTGAATGAAGAGCCATTTCCCCATTTCCTGTCATTCCGTCCTAAAACCAGAATAGTCTCCACCACTCCTTCTGCCCCTCACTCACTTTTCCCAAAGGAGGAGGAAGATGATGAAGAGGATGATGATGAGGAAGAGGAAGAGATGGGGGTCTTATCTGGTGAAAGAAGCCTCTGTATTCCTGGCAGGGCTGGCCTCCTGAGGCCATGTTCTCTGGAGCAGGTGAGGAGGCCCAGCTCTCTCTAATCTCAATAGCGTCTCAACCAGCATAAGACAGCTGGTTGTGTTAGTGTCTGGCTCACAGACTTTCCCTCAACCAGGCAACCCAAAATCTGGAGTGGAGAAGCGAGGGCCATGCAGGCAATCTGATCCAGGCCGTAATGCAGGAGTTTCTAGACTCCACTCTTACTAGTTATGAAGCTGATACCGTTATTTCCATATTTCATACCCAAGTTGGTTTCTCAGTGAATACTGAACATGAATGCACAGAGAAGTACGATTGGCATTATTTTCCAGCTTTCTCAATCTTCAGGATGACCTTTAAAATAGCTTCTGTATGAATATGCAAAGATTCCAGTAAAATGATTCTGAAAGTATTTTAAAGCAAACTTTTTAAGAGATCAATTACATTCAATAAGGTACAGAATCCTAGCATATGCTCAACATTTTCAATAGAGAAGAAGATACACACGTGTATATACAAAAAGTTTGCTTACGTTCACACCCTTTGGATGGGGTCCACATCAAACTTTCCTGGCAGGTCACATTCAGAGGCTCATCTGGAATAGGGCTGTAGCCAGGCTCGCACTGATATTGAAGCACAGTCCCAATTTCAAATACTTCCTGATTTCTTAGGTTGTAGGGTATTCCATTCCAGAAAGCATGGGGAATGTCTGGCAAGTCAATACAACTATCTGATCATGAAAAAAGCACAAGGATGAAAGAAAACTGTTACTGAGATTGGCAGAGTGACCCGTGAAACTGTCATAAAGAAAGGATATCATGTATTCATTCAGCAAGAAAACGGATGGTCAAGGCTAAATAGGAATTCCAGGAACAGCCTGGGAAGCACCAACCTCCAACAGACTAGTGCCAAGCACTAAATGCACATGGAGCTGGAGAGACTGTGACTAAGGGGCACACGATGGTGCGGAAAGGGTCAGTGTGTAGGTTTGGGCCAGCTGTATAGGAGCTCAGTGTCCTTCCACTTCACTGCACTTCGGAATGGTTCATCTTCAGGGGAAGCTTTAAGATCACTGAGAATACACATCAAAATTTGTTCCTAGGTAAACCAAACTTTTAACTGTCTCTTTGCCTAATGGGGAATTACGATAGGAGACATTCCCCTAGACATTATGACACTGTCACCAGGAGCGTCATTATTTGGCCTTAAACCAAGCTCCTTCAGTCTTGCATTTTTCTACTCGATCTGATGCCAAAGGTCCATGTAGATCGAAAAGGGGATACATATCTGTCAAGTTGTATATTTATTGAATTTCAACACTACATATTTAAATTGGCACCTAAATTCTCGTGATGATAGAAGGGAACAGTAAACCACAATGTAGCAGTGGCTTCCACCCCTGACTAATTATGTGGACTTATGCTAGTTGCTTAATCTCTCTCAGTTTTCTCATCATTAAAATGGGATTAAAAATAGTAGGTACATCTTAGGATTGTAGTAAATGGTAAATCAATTAATTGATGTTATGCACTAGAACAGTGCTTGATATATAGAAAGCCCTTAATAAATGTTAGCAATAGGTATCACTAACGTTATGACTGGTCAGTATGCATTTACAATTTCAAAGCCTCAAGGCCAACATTAGCCCAGAGAGCACCTCTGTGCAAATTTTAAAAAGAGGATGTCTGGAAGGAATTTTACTTCCATCTTTCAAAAAATTCTCAAAATATGTTGATTTCGTTAGGATGAGACGCTTTACTACTGTCTACTGGAAAATTTTGTAAGAAATAAATAGATCTGTAATATCTATAATGTCACTGATGCCAAAACTATATGATATATGTATAAAGTCCTTTAAATAACACTGAGAGATTACTAACAAGAAAATCTTCCTTCTAACAGGAGAAAACTAGAGAAACATATTAATTTAAAATGATTATTGGGATTAAAGTGGGCTTGTGCCTATGAGCATGCTATGCCCATACTCCTGGATAATTTTAGATGCCAAATATGGAAACTCCTTCAGTCCATACTCACTGAGCTCACAAACAGGAGGAGGAGGGTCCCAGTTGTCATCAGCTTCACAATAGATTAAACTGCTGCCTGTGAGGCTATAACCTTTCTTGCAGCCAAACACAATAGTGTCTTTGTAAGTATAGAGGGGTCCAAATCCAGAGACAAAGATTCCATTTGGAACCTGTGGCTGACGACAGACAATGTCTAAAGAAGCATAAGAAAGGACATCTCAGTTATAAAAGAGAAATGACAGTAAGAATGTGACTACTATTGTTGATATGGTTTCAAGGAAGACCTGATACAAGTATGTATCAAATAAGTACAAAGAAAACATTTTAAAGCTTTATATATATGCTTTCAGTTCCTGGGAACCTCAGCAATATGAGGTCCCATCATCTTAGTCATTGCAGAAAAAATCCTACAACTTTCTTATCAAAAAAATCCCTAGCAACATAGATACAGAGAACAGACTGGTGGTTGCCAGAGGCAGAGGTTGGAGGTGGGATGGGTGAAATGGGTGAAGGCAGCCAAAAGGGACTATGGTTAATAATACTGTATTGTATATTTGAAAGTAGCTAAGGGAGCAAATATCAAAAGTTCTTATCATAAGAAAAAAATTTTGTAACTATGTACGGTGATGGATGTTAACTAGACTTATTGTGGTGCTCATTTTGCAATATATATAAATATTGAATCATTATGCTGTACACTTTAAACTAATATAATGTTACGTGTCAATTATATCTCAATTAAAAAAAACCCTAGTAATATCTAAACCCCAAAGTGATATGCGCTACTTCCAGGTCAAAGAATTTCCTAGCCAGGGAGTGCTTCCCCTTGCTCTCTTCCTCTGCTGGACTGACTGTGGAAGATTTGATGCAGAGTTGTCAGAAGATTTAAACAATCTAGACTACTATATAAATGACAGCTGCCCTGGAGGGTTTCCCGGGCTAGCAGTGCACTAAGACAGCCAAAAAACCCTTTTACTATAAAAAAGCCTTGAGATTTTGGTATTGATTATTACGGCAGCATAGCCTGTGCTATCCTAGTACAGCGTAAGATTAGTTGAATGAATGAATGACCACATCATTGCCTTGATTACTTTGTCTTTGAATCATTCCATTTCCCCCAATAAATACACCTTCCTTGTTCCTTTAAACAAAAGAGAAAAATTCAAAGCAGAATCCAACAATTCAGTTGTAACTTACGTTTACAAGTCGGAGGGCTTGGGCTCCAGACACCTATCGTTTTATTCTCCACTGTGCAGGAAATGGAGGCTTTGCCTATCATTGAGAAGTGAGGGTCACAGCTGTAGGTGACAGAAGAGCCATATGTGTAGATGTCTTCATCTCCACCACTGTGCTTCCCATTGCTGATGGCTGGAGGGGCCTCACACTTGGCAACTGGGATGAGTGAGTGAAGAGGAAGAAATGGTCAGGGAAGGCATCCTTGCAAATCTAACATTCATGAGGCAAATTCTAATGGAGGGCTCAAGAAGCAGCAAAGATTCACAGGAGTTTTATTACCTAACATGGTTTAGGTTTATAGTCAAGCCAGAAAAAAATCTTTACTTACTTATACATACTGGGAGAGGATCACTCCAGTCAACTCCCTTATCTTGGATGTCACAATGACTAGTGGTTGAGCCAATTAAGATATATCTGGATAAGATAAGTCAGAGATTTTAGTGGAATTCATCTTACTCTAAATATAAATTGCCAATGAGGTTTGGGCAAATGGAATTTTTATTCAATATTTAAAAATGAAAAACTAGTGCTCTCTTGATTACTAATTACCATTTGGGTCAATCTGGAGTTAAATTTCATCACATCAAGGAGAAAGTCTTGTTTGTTCCTTTTTTTCTTTCATTCACTTATTCATTTAAACCACATGATTAAGCTTTGTCTAAGTATTAGATGGTACACATCCATAGCCAATAAAAACTAGTACATGACAAGTTTTGCACCAAAATCTTAGGACTCCACTTAAACTTTACACTCTTTCCCTAACGAACTACAAATCAAGCGACACAAAATGGGCAAAAGTACACTTGAGTTTGTTATGCAGCTGCCTTTGAATAAATGATCCAGACAAATTACTGATAAAAACAATTACTTTGCTCTCTAATCTGAGTCTTCCTGCTGGTACTAGAGTTTGACCTGCTTTCATAAACCATTAACTTCCTGGTTATCATCTCATTATTCTTGCTCTTGACAAGTCCCAGTCTTTCTTCCAGGACTTTTTGCATTAAAAAAAAATTACATGTCAATTTCCCCTGAACATTAATGAAAAGTTCAGAATAAAAAACAAACAGAATCCAGAAACACTTTAAAAGAAAAATATGCCATGACCAAATAGGTTTATTCCAAGAATGAAAGGAACCTTCAAAATTAGAAGATATATTAGTATATAACATATTGTTATGAACTGAATATGTGTGTGCTTCCAAAATTCCTATGTTGAAGCCCTGACCCCCAGTGCGGCTGTATTTGGAGTAAGGAAGTAATTAAGGTTAAATGAGGTTATAGGTGTGGGGCCCTGATTCAATAGGATTAGAGTCCTTATAAAGGAGATACCAGAGAGCTCTCTCGCTCCCTCTGTGTCTCTCATTCTCTCTCTCCATGTGCGTGCACAGAGGAAAGGCCATGTGAGGACATAGTGAGAAGGCAGCCATCTACAAGCCAGGAAGGGGATTCAGAAACTGAATCCTGCCAGACCTTGGTCTGGGACCGCCAGCCTCCAGCACTGTGAGAAACAGATTTCTATTATTTAAGCTGCCCAGCCTGTGGCATTTTGTTACGGCAGCCTGAGAAGACTAGTGCATATATGATATTAATAAATCTAAGGAGAAAAACATACCATCATCTTGATAGACACTAAATGGCATTTGAAAAAAAATCAACAATTATTCTTGACAAAAACATTCAATATAATGGGAATCAGTGGAGACAGAGCTCCCCCAAACTTAAGGGGAAGATACTAGAGTCGTTTCTGCTAAAGTCAAGAACAAGAAAACAATGGCCAGTATCAGTATTTTGTTTGAAATAAAATTCCTAGCATAATTGTATAAGAAAAAGGAATTAGAAATACAAAAATTGGAAAGAAAAAAGGAATAGTATCATTATTTTCAGATTATACAATTCCATACCAGTAAATCTCAAGAGAATCCAACTGAAATACTATAATAATAATAATCAGGGAATTCAGGACATTAGCTGATATATGAAATTAATATATAGAAATCAACAGTTTCCGTATATACAGATATAAACTCTTAGATGGTATAATGGAAGAAAAGACACCATTTTAAATATCAAAAACAGAGTAAGATACCAAAGAATAAACATAATGAAAATTGGAAAATCTAAATGGGTAGAACTTTAAAACAATCCTAAAATACATCCCTCACACACAAACACACACAAACACACACACACACAAGATCAGGACAAAAGGAAAGCCATAACAAATTCTGGGCTTGGAAGACTCAAGATGATGCAATGTACATTCTCCTAAAGTTAGTTTAAAAAATTAAAGTAATCAATTAAAAACATAATCCAATTAATTTTAAAGTTCGTATAGAAATAAAAACAAGCAAGCATAGTCAGGAAAATCCTCGTAAAGCAGAAGAGTAAGGGGGATACTTCAGAGCAATGTTACACACTATGGAAACTCAGTAATTATAGAGAGAAGAACTGGTTGTGTGAACATACAGATAAACTAAAAGAATTGAGTATAAAGTCCAGAAATAGACCCATATACCTATGGGAACTAAGTATAGTTTTAAAAGAATATTATCTCGAAGTCACAGATTAATCATGGACTTTTTAATAAATTATGCCAAGGCAACATGAAAGCCATCTGGGGAAAGATACAACTGCTCAGTGCATGGAAGCTCTGTATGAAATCACATTAAATCGTAAAAGCAGTTGAATAATTGTAGGAATTACTTTATTATCTTCAAGCAGGGAAGGCCTTTTAACTGTAACTCAAAATCCAAAAGCCATTGAAAAATTGATAAATTTAACCATATAAAGCATGGTTTTTGTTTGGTAAGAAAAAAGTATTCTAGGCCAAGTCAAAAGAAAGATGACACACTGAGAAAAAAATTGCAATTTGTGTCAGACATTTAAAAAAATAACAAGGGACTCAAGTCGGTTTACGCATAAGGAGATACAAATGTCTTTTAGATGGAATAAGTTCAATCTCACTCATAAATAGAAAAACGGACATTAAAACTACAGGGAGGCCATCCAACAATACGAGAATACACACTTTTTCCCAAGCACCCCTCAGACATTCACCAAGATAAATCATATCCTGGGCAATAAAACAAACCTCAACAAACTTAGGAAAATTTAAATCATACGGTGTATATTTTCTGACTGCACTGGAATTAAACTAGAAACCAATAACAGAAAGACAAGAGGAAAATCTCCAAACACTTGGAAATTAAATAACACACTTCTAAATAATCCATGGTCAAAAGGGAAGTTGCAAAGGAAATTTAAAATACATAGAATGGAATGAAAATGAAAATATAACAGATCAGAATGTGTGGTGCACAGGTAAAGCAGTGCTGAGAGGGAAATTTATAGCACTAAATGGTCACATTAGGAAATAGAAAAGATCTCAAATCAGTAATCAAAGTTCCTAGTTCAAGAAACTCAAAAAAGAAGAAGAAATAAACCCAAAGCAAAAAGATAAAAAGAAAGAAAAATAAAAGCAGAAATAAATTTAAAACAGGAAAACAATAAAGAAAATAACGAAACAAAAAGCTCATTCTCAAGAAAATCAATTAAATTGATAAATCTCTCATAAGACTGATAAAGATAAGAGAGAAGACACAAGTCACCAGTATCAGGAATGAAACAGGGACCATCACTACAGATCCTGTAGCCAATGAAAGGAGAGTAAGAGAATGAACACTTTTATGCTCATAAATTCAACAACTTAAAAGAAAAAGAACAATCCTTTGAAAAGCACAAAATTCAACAAAGACAAAATAAATAATCTGAGTAGTCCTAGAACTATTAAAGAAATTGACTTCATAATTCAAAGACTTAAGGAAAAAGAAATATCCAGGCCCAGATGGCTTTATTGGAGAATTCTACCAAACCTTTAAAGAAACTAATTTTTCCCGGTCTCTTTTGGAAAATTGAAGAGGAGGGAACACTTTCCAACTCATTCTGTAGGGCTAGTATTACCCTTATCATGATCAGACAAACACATGGAGCTGGCCCTGTGACATAGTGGTTGAGTTTGGCATGCTCTTCTTTGGTGGCCCTGGTTCGAGGGTTCAGATCCCGGGCATGGACCTACAGCACTCATCAGCCATGCTGAGGTGGCAACCCACATACAAACTACAGAAAAATTGGCAACAGATGTCACCTCAGGGTGAATCTTCCTCACCAAAAAAAAAAAAAAAAAAAAAAAAAAAAAAATCAGACAAACAGTAGAAAAAAAGAAAACTATAGATCAATATCTCTCTTAAACTTACCTGCAAAAATCCTCAACAAAACATTAGAAAATCAACCCAACAGTATGTAAAAAGAATTAGACACCATGTCCAAGTGAAATTTATTTGAGGTAAACTGGTTTAACGTATGAAAATTAATCAATGTATTCCATGATACCAACAGGTTAAAAGAGAAAAATTGTGTGATCATATGCACAGTGACGCATAAAAAGCACTTGGAAAAAAATCCAAAGCCTTTCATGATAGAACCTCTCCCTAAACTAGGAATAGAGGAGCACTTCCTCAACTGGATAAAGAGCATTTACAAAAAACCTACAGCTAACGTACTTAATGGTGAAAGACTGAAGCTTTTCCTCAGACTGAGAACGAGGTCTGCTCTCACCACTGCTATTCAACACAGCATTAGAGGTTCCAGCCAGCGCAACAAGAAAAGAAAAAGGAATAAAAGGCATACATGTGGGAAAGGAAGAAAAAACAAACTGTCCCTATTTGCAGGTGACATTAGTGTTTAAGCAGAAAATCACAGGGGAGCTACAAAAAACAAAACCAAACCAAAAACTCTTAGAACTAGTTTAAATGGGTTCAGTGAGCTAGCAGGACAAAGATCAACACACAGGATCCATCACCTTTCTATATGCTAACAACAGACGTGCGAATATCCAAATTTAAAACACCACCATTTACAATTGTTCCAAAGAAAATGAAATACTTAGATGTAACAAAATATGTACAGGATATGTATGCTTAAAATTACAAAATTTTGATCAAAGAAATCAAAGAAGATCTGAGTACATGGAAAGGCAAGTTATGTTCACAAATTGGAAGACTCAACATTGCAAAGACGTCAAATTCTATTGAAAATGCAAATCGTATCAAATGCAAATCTTAGAAGCCCAGTGAAGTTTACTGTGGACATAGACAAGTTTATTCTAAAATTTATATGGAAAGACACGGACCCAGAATAGCTAAAACAATTTTGAAAAACAAAAAAAGAGTGGGAGGGATCACTTTACCTGATATTGACTTACCTCATAGCAATAGTAATCAAGACAGCGTGGTATTGGCAGAAAGATAGACACAGTGGAACAAAATGAGAACCCAGAAATAGACCCACAAAAATACACCCAAATAATTTTTGAGAAAAGTGCCAAAGTAATTCAATGGAAAATAATTAAATGGTGCTGGAGTCATTGGGCATCCACAATAAAAACATAAAGTAAAATACGCTCAACCTAAAACTCCACCTTATACAAAAATTCTCTTGAAATGAATCACAAACTTAAATGTAAAACTATAAAACTTTTAGAAAAAAATAGGAGAAACTCTTCAGGACTTGAGACTAAATGACAAGATTTTAGACTTGACACCAATAGCATAATTCATAAAAGAAAAATTATACCTCATGACAATTAAAAACCTTAGCTCTCTGAAAGACTCTGTGAGGAGGATGAAAAAGCAAGGTACAGACTGGGGGAAAATATTTGCAAACCACATATCCTACAAAAGAATAGTATCTAGAATATGTAAAGAACTCTCAAAACTCAACAGTAAAAAACCAAAATGATCCAATTAGAAAATGGGCAAAAGATACGAGCAGATATTTTAGTGAAGAGAATACAAATGGCAAATAAACAAATAGAAATATGTTCAACATCATTAGCTATTACAGAAATACAAATTAAAACCGCAATGAGACATTACTACACACCTATCAGAATGGCTGAAATGAAATCTCGTGGCAACACCAAATGCTGGTGTGGATGGTATGGATCACTCATACATTGCTGGTGGGAATGTACAATGACACAGCCTCTCTGGAAAACAGTTAGGCAGTTTCTTGAAAAATTAAACAGGTAACTTCTATATGATCCACTTGGGCATTTATTCTAGAGAAATGAAGACTTAAGTTGACACAAAAAACCTGTATAGGAAAGTTTATAGCAGCTTTCTTCATGATAGCCAAAGATGAAACAACCCAAGTGTCCTTCAACAAGCAAATGTTTCGACAAATGCCATGCCATGGAATATTCTCTCAGCAATAAAATGGAGCAAAGTATCCAAGTACAACAACTTGTATGAATTTCAAGAGAATTATGCAAAATGATAAGTCAGTCTCCAAAGGTGACACGCTGTGTGGTTCCATTTATATAGCATTTTTGAAATGACAAAATTGTAGAAATAGAGACTGGATTAGTGGTTGCCAGAGGTTAGGAAGAGAGAGGGAGGGAGTTGGCTATAAAGAGATAACACAAGGCAGCCTCGTGATGGAACTGTTCTGTATCTTGGCTGTGGTGATGGTCACACAAATCTTCTCGTGTGACAAAATTGCATAGAATTAAACACACACACACACACACACACACAAATAAGTGCTTGTAAAACCAGTGAAATCTGAAAAAGCCCAATGGATTATATCAATGTTGATTTCCTGATTGTGATACTGCACTATGGTCACACAAAATGTTGTTGGCACCACTGAGTTAACTGATATAGACCCAATCAAAAGTTAGCATAAGGGAAGCCATCTTATAGAAGGAAGTCATATTAGAACCATGTAAGACCCTGACTCCCTTGCCCTTTTGGGAAAAAAATGCTTTAGTTTGCACATAGCCTAGACAATTAAGCATCTGTCTCTGATGGATGTGCGTGCTCTCTTAGTTTTATGGCCCCAGCTTATGCATAGACCTCCCTGCTGTGATAAGACAATAACTTTGTTCTTTAAGTTTCCTCAGGAATGCAACGACCTTCTGGAAGAAAGCCCTATGCTGGTATCCACCACTGGTGACAGAAAAAGGAGATGACATGATGTTTCAAGTTCTGCCACACCAGATGGTCGACATTCCAAGATGCCCCTTTTTAGCCCACTTGCCCTGTATAAACGCCTCAAGATTTTGTAGTTGCAAGATGTTCTTTTGGGTGTGAGTCCTCCATCTTCTACCTTGCCAGCAAGCTTCAATAAAACGCCTTCTCTCCTACCGCCTTGCCTCTTGACTGTGGCTTGTCTTGTGGTGAGCAGTGACCCCTTCGGTGGTTACAATGTTACCAATGGGGGAAACTGGAAAAAATAGGGTATAGGCTTTGTCTGTACTATTTCTTATAATGGCATGTCACTCTACACCTATCTCAATAAGTTAAAACACACTATGGGGTGGCTGGCCCAGTGGAGTAGTGGTTAAGTTCACATGCTCCGCTTTGGTGGCCCAGGGTTCACAGGCTGGGATCCCGGGTACAGACCTACGCGCCACTCATCAAGCCATGCTGTGGTGGCATCCCACATACAAAATAGAGGAAGATGGGCATAGATGTTAGCTCAGGGCCAATCCTCCTCACCAAAAACCCCCAACAGTACAGGGAAGTTATATTTTCACCTCTAAATAGACAAAAAGTCCTCAGTTTGATGAAATACTCAATTGTAGAGCTGGTGGAGAAATAGACATTCGTTTACAAAATTTTGCAAGTCTATGAAGACAAACTTGGTAATATTTATCAATATTTTAAAGTATCTTCTCTCTGACCCAGCAGTCCTACTTCTGGGAGTTTATCCTACAGGCATAACTGCATAAAATTACATATATAGAAAATCATGCTTCAGGGCCTGTGTGTAACAGCATAAGATTGGAAACTCACAAAGGTCTCTCAGTCGGGATCATTAAATGAACTGTGATAAGCTATGATACATGCCCTAGGAAACCATACAGCTGTAACCACACAGACACAGAATAAGGAAACAGCGCATGAATTGCAGAGATCGCCAGAACATGTTTGTTTCTCTTAGTTCGGGCTGCTGTAACAGGAACACCATAGACTGTGGGTTAAACCACAGACATTTGTTTCTCACACTTCTGGAGGCTGGGAAGTTGGAGACTGGGGTGCCAGCATACTCATGTACTGGTGAGAACCCTCTTCCTGGCTCACAGATGGCAGTATTCTTGCTGTGTCCTCACATGGCACCGGAAGAGAGAAAGGAAGCTAGCCCTCTTGTGTCTCTTCTTATAATGGCACTAACCCCATCATGAGGGCTCCACCCTTAAGACCTAATTACTTCCGAAAGGCCCTATCTCCAAATATGACCCCACTGGGGATTAAGGTTCAACATATGAATTTGAGGATACAAACATTCGGTCCATAGCAATGTTGTTAAGTGAAAAAGATAAAAGCAAGGTTCAAACCCACGTGTGCCATCAGCTATCTTCTGTGTAATAAAGGAGACAAAATATTAATAAAAATATGGGTACTCACTTGTATTTACATAAGTGAACACTAGAAGGATAAATCAGAAACTAATAAAGTCACTTCCTGTCAAAGGGCAGAGTGGAATGAGATGGAATGGAAGTGAGAATTCTCAGTGTACACCTTTTTACATCATTTTTATTTTATTTTATTTTTTGGTGAGGAAGATGGTCCCTGAGCTAACAACTGTGCCAGTCTTCCTCTGTTTTGTATGTGGGATGCGACCACAGCATGGCTGGATGATCGGTGTGTAGGTCCACGTCCAGGATCTGAACCTGTGAACCCTGAGCCACGGAAGTGGAGTGCATGAGCTTAACCTCTATTCCACTGGGCTGGCCCCTCCTTTTTCTTTTTGAAACATGTAAGTGCATTATCTACTTATAAAAATTAATTGAAAAGAAAAGGTCGCCTTATACTTACCCCTCTGAGCAGCTGAATTCTATAGTTGAACCTAAGAGAAAATCTGTCTTAACTTCCACTCTCCCATTGATTAAGTCTCCTGGGTTTCTGCATCGTTTCTCTGAGAGGAAAATTAAAATGGTGACTAGTGACTCGTATTACTTACATAACATAGCGTTAGAGAAAGAGTCCGATCGATTGGCTCTCACTCCTGCTTCCAGATAAACCCAGAGATTTTTTTCAATGCTTTTTTCTGATCCTGATTTATTGAATGTTTATTTTGAGGAAAAATAAATGTAAACATTTATTCCATTTTTCTGATACGTTTTAAGAAGAAGAAAAAAATATGCTTAGATTCATTTGCTCAATTAGATCACGGTGATAATAAACGATGGGATGTATGGACTAGTTATCCACACAAATGTATGTTCTCAAAAATGTATGCCCTTCATCACAGGGAAACAGAAGGAAAAAAAGAAACATATTCTATATCCTTACTGTTAGAAAAATATCTCGGTGTGTATTCCCAACTGACTTCTTCCAAATGGTATAGATGATGTCAATTTGGAAGACTACTTTGGTCAAAGATTTTCATTTGAATTAAAGAATTCATTAACTTGCTAAGAGAATTTTCCCAAATAAAACAAAAGTACAGGTGAGAAAAATAAGTGTTGATACTTACTGGTACAAAAGACACTATAGTCCCACGAGCCTCTAGCATTACAGGTAATCTTACTTGAACCGATTCTACTGAAGCCAGGATGGCAGGTGTATTTCAGAGCAGTTCCAGTTTTGAAGTCTGTCTTAATCAACTTGTTTACTGGAGAAGCAAATGGTAAATCAGGTGGAGGGCCACAATCACCTGGACGCCAAAATGACAAGAAGCATCAAGTTATAGGTTGGGACCCAGCAGCTCAATGTTTCAGTAGTAAGATTTTCATAACAGAGATCGTGCTTTTCTTTTTCATCACAATTCCTATTATCCCACTATTCAATGAACACAGTGAGTAATCAGTAATACATGTTTGTTGATTGATGACAATGACAATCATAATGAAAAAAGGCAGAAAAATTTTATCCATTATGAAATTTTTCTTATATATGTGATAATTTTCCAGAAAATGGATGAACAGACCTTAATTTCATCATTCTATCAGATTCCCCACACCTGCCTACTCAAAATCCTGGCAACTATACCATGCCATCTGACCTTACCTTCTTGCCTGAGTAGAAACATATATTTTATTAATAATGGCATTGTGGAGGATTAGTGCCTCAGGAGTCAGGGATGAAAAGGAGGCATCTCGTTTGTGTCCTTTTGGACCGTTTGGATTGTGAATAGACTGCCTATTTGAAAATAAACATGTTTTTCAAAAAGCATCACAAGGTGGAGATGCATTAAACCCTTGAAAAATAAAATCTTAATTGTGCTTCTCTGGAGAGAATTAAATGAAGGCTAGGCTAGATTCCAGGAGCCCAGGCAGAATTGCACCCCTCCCCTCCACCTGCTCAACAAGCACAAGCGCACAGGCAGTGAAAACTCTTCATGGTCAGGCTGGCAGATAATATGCGTTTATTCCCAGTCATAATTTGCTTTGAGATTAGATTGGAGAGTTCCCGGAGAGGAAATTCTAAAAGGGAGTATCAAGAGTGTCTCTATAAATCAGCCTTTTTTGGGTGAGGATTTATAGCAAATTTCCCTAAATTTCAGGTGGTCAAATAGCCCACAATGTTAAAGATGGATATCCGTTGGACATCTTTTGAAATAGGGTGTGTTGATGAACTCAGTCGTATGGTGACAATCTGACCTTGTCTCCCCATTACTCACCAAGAACAGTAGTGAACAGAGCAGCAACCAAGGTCACTTTGAAGAGAGTTGGCTCAGAGACTCTCCACAGCCCAGAGAAGGGCTGGGCTGCCGTTTCTCCCTTTCTATCAAGGGCATCATGTCGAACTCTTTGAGGATGCATGAGCCTATGTTTCTTTAACATTTCTCTGCTGAAAGAACTCAATTTAAGAAACAGTTATTGAATTCCTACTTGTCATAAAGTACTGGGGAAAATCAGATGGGAACCATGCCTTCAAGGAGATTATAATGGACTGTAGAAGAAAAGACATTAAGCCCAAGTATTTACAATAAAAGGCAGCTTATGTTCTCTGCTTCAGGAGCATATCAGGAGGCCAGTCAATTCTAGGGAGAGAGATGGGAGTGGGCTTTCTGGAGCTGGCTGCATCTGAGGCAGCAGATGTTGCTGTGAAATTTGGAGTGTGGAATGCAGGACGTTTTGTGCCAAAAGTGAAAACTGGGGAAGACACAGCAGCAAGAAGGTAAAGGTTATTCTGGGCAACAGTACTTAGTACTTCAATTTGTTTGGAAGGTAAGGAGTGTGCGATAGGGAGAAGAAAGTGAGAGATAGAGGGGCAGATTAGAACTGAGTCTGACGAGTTTTCAGGGCTAAGCTTAGGAGTTTGGACCTAGGAAACGGAAAGCCACTGATGTTTTTGTGTTTTTGAGCAACATGGTTATGTACTTTTGGAAGATCACTATGGCAAATGTGGACAAGACAGACTGAAAGAGGCAGAGAGAAGAGACAGCGAGATTGATTAAGAAGATTATTGCAGCTGGCGAGGTGAGCCACAGAGATGATCTGAACAAGGAAATGGCAGAAGAGTTAGGGAAGGCGGAGCAAATGAAAACAAAGCAAGAAAATGGTGAGACAGACGAAAGGAGTTCTATGTACGTATGCATGTATATATGTATGTATGTATGTATCTATCAGTTACCCATCTGTCTATCTGTCTATCGAGTTCTTTATAGCAACTGTTCCTATGTCACCAGGTTCCTCTGTCAACAAGAGCAATGATCCATTGGGTCAATTCAAAATTTTCAAAGCATTACTCTTGTCACCAAAAAAAAAAAAAACAAAAAGGAAAAGGAAACATTACTGTTGTGTTTCTTGGTTTCTTGGTTCTGGTCATTCATTAATCAGAGACTTCTTTAAAGCAAGATCCACAGAAGGCCGTTTTTACCCCTTAACTGGGAAAACCCCTCACATATCCTAATTTTAGTTAAGAATTAGTTCTTATGTCTTTCAATGAAATATAGGATTTCATTCTTTTACTCTAAAACCCGACATAGATTGAGACAGTCTTATATTACCATTCATCCTTAATTATCCTAATTACCCACTTAGGTCAAGGTAGTCTTCTCACTATTCCTTTCAAAGTTGTCACTGCCCACCTTGGAAGGAGAAGCTTATGCAGCAGCTTAAGTCTTTTAACAAGTAAAGATTCTTAACTTTCTAAAACTTCAGCTCATGCCACTCCTCCAACCCCATCTCCTGCTCCCTGCAGACACACATACCCCTGGTCCCACACGCCCAATTCATTACTTCAGTTCTGCCAAAAAATCCAATTGATGTAATAGACGATTTATTTATAACAATTTATGTTGAATTTATGTTGAATGAGTCGGCCTGGTCTCAAAGTGTGAACAAACAGAAATCTAAGGCTCTGAGGCATTTACCCTGCCCCACTTCTCCTTCCCAGGGTGACCACATGCACCAGTTTGCTTGGGGTTGACGGGTTTCCCAGGCTGCAGGACTTTTAGTACTAAAACCAGGGCTGTCCCAGGAAAACTGGGATGGTTGGCCCCTGACAGCAGGTTCCCTTTTCTGTGCTGCCTAGAACCCCCTCTCTCTACCACCTACCCTCAGCCAGAGGGAGCTACGGCAAAGAAAAGTTTCACGTTATAAAAACCAGACAACTCAAGCTCATAGAAATTTTCAAAAGTATTAAGATATTCCCCAGAAAAAAATTGTAAGTTGCCGGTAAGTCAGTGATTTGGTAACTGTAGCGAATTGGTTATTTGGTGATATTGGCAAGAATCTTAAAATGCTAAAATGTTGGCAAAAAGAGTAAATGGCTTTAAAAAGTTAAAAAGATGACACTTTAAAGTGAAAATTTCCCCTAAAAATCTCTGTATTTGTACTTAAATTCACAAGAAACATACATGCCTTGAATTTATTGGGAAGAAAGCCTTTATAAATACATTTATTAAAAACAACATAGTCATTAGAAGTAACACTAACCCCCACGTGTTCAACACGTTGGACACTCTTACAATGGTGCTAAAAGGTACTTACTCATGACTATCTTCAAGAAAAATATATTTATGTTTTTGAATATATTCTGAAATTTCCAAATATTTTCCTACCTTCTTACCCTGCCCACATCGTCTACCCTCTCAAACTTTCCTCCACCAAATCCCACTCCTTTTCCAGACTCACCCCTAACGCTGCACCTGTCCTCCAGCCCAGCCTCCATATTCCAGGGACAACCTAGTGTTTGTAACTCTGGTCTAATTCCGACTTGAACGACAGCTAAAGTCTAAACTCTGTGTCTTCCCTAAACCACGAACTTCTTGAAGCGAGAGGGTGGATTTTTATTCACCTCTGCCCTGCACAGAGAGGTGCTCAGTAAAGGTTTTCTGAATTTAAATTCAAAAGTATCCTGTGACAATATATGTTTCAAAGAAAAAAAACTTTCATACACATCTGTCTCTTTATACTGTTGCATATGTGTGTGTGTGAAGGTCAAATTTTACTTGTTATAAAGGGGCATCTTTATTTTAATAAGAAACTGACACTTGTGATTTTACTGTAGGCACCAAGATCCCCCTTCCTCCTCTTTAACCTGAGTCATTACATCATCAACCAGTCAGCAGAGGGCAGTGGAACAAGACTAGTAAAAGGGGGGTGGGAGAGGGGAGTGAAAAATGTTTTCTTCTCTCCACCACTGCAGCTGGGTAGTGAGGGCGGATGGGAGTCAGCCACACCTACTCTGTGGGGAGGAATTATTTCGCTGCTTTTACCTCAACCTCACAGGCCGCAGCCAGAGTGCCATCTACACAGGAGGACAGTATGTGGCCCGGACCCGGGCCTGGGCTCTGGAGTCAGACCCAGGCCATGTGAATTTGAATCCTGGTTCCACTACATGGGAACTGTGAACTCCTAGGCAAGATACTCAGACCCTCTAAGCCCCGATTTCCTCTTTTATAAGATGACAATGGTAAGTGCACAGGTCTCCCAGAATTGTTGAGAGAAATTAAATAATCGTCTCTGTAAGAGGTGTGACATGGTGCCTAAAACACAGTAAACATTAAAAAAAACGTTAGCAATTGTTAACTCCAGGGAAGAGAGAAATAGAATTGAAATTAGCATGGGATTCTGCTAGAAGCTGAACTCCTAGAGTCAAAACGTCGTCATAATAATGAAGCAAAATTACAATGACTGCATCGCCAAGGGACTTTAAGGAAGCCCGGGTGCAGAGGAAAGCCTGCTGGGTTTGGGCCAGGAGCCCTTGGTTGGGTGTTCACTGTGGCCCCTGGTAATAGTGAGACCCAGCGCACACCCAGAGCAGAGACTCTGGCACCCAAGGGGAACTGTCCTGGGGCTTCTTCCTCCTTCACCCTTCAGTGTCTTCCTGGGAGGAGCTCATCTCCCCGCATGACTTTGACCATCATCCATGACTCACTCACAGATGTCTGGGCCCAATTATCCCCCGCAGGTGCAAAACTTACGTGTTCTATAAACTCAACCGTTAATAAAAATCTTATTCTGCCCTATTCCCTCCAATGTTTAAGTATTTTATAAAAGCTTTCTTGGGATATAATTCACATACCATAGATTTTATCCACTTAAAGTGTACAATTCAGGGGTTTTTAGCATATTCACAGAGTTGTGTAACCATCACCACTGTCTAATTTTAGAATATTTTTACCACCCCCCAAAAAAACTCTGCACTCATTAGGAGTTACTTCCCATTTTCACCTCCCCCTAGGCCCTGGCAACCATTAATTTACTTTCTGTCTCTGTGGAATTGCCTACTGTACACATTTCATATAAATAGAATCATACAGTATGTGGTCTTTTGTGACTAGCTTCTTTCACTTAGCGTAACGTTTTCAAGGTTCATCAATATCATAGTACTTTATTCCTTTTTATGACTGAATAATATTTTATTGTATGGATAGTCCATATTTTGTTTATCCACTCTTCAGCTGATGGACCCAAACAGGTTGTTTCCACTTTTGAGCAGTTATGAATCATGCTGCTCTGAATATTCGTGTACATTTTTTGTGTGTGGATACGTATTTTTATTTTTTCTTGGGTATATACCTAGGAGTGGAATTGATGGATCATATGGTAACTCTATGTTTAACATTTTGAAGAACTGCCAAATTGTTTTCCAAAGTGACTGCATCATTTTACACTCCTACCAGCAACGTATGACTCTTCCAATTTCTATACATTCTCTCTCAACACTTGTAATTGTCTGTCTTTTGAAATTTAGTCTTCCTAGTGAGTATGCAGTACTTCATTGTGGGTTTGATTTACATTTCTCTAATAACTAATGAAGTTGAACATCTTCTTATGTGCTTATTAGCTATCTGTATATCTTCTTTAGAGAAATGTCTATTCAAATCATTTGCTCATTTTTAATTGGGTTAATTGTCTTTTTATTGTTGACTTGTAAGCATTCTTTATATATTCTGGATACAAGTCATTTGTCATTCTGTGGGCTGTCTATTCATTCTTGATGGTGTACTTTGAAGCACAGAAGTTTTTAATTTTAATGAAATCCAATTTATCTATTTTTTATTTTGTTGCTTATATATCTAAGAAACCGTTGCCTAACCCAAGGTCATGAAGATTTACTCCCATGTTTTCTTCTAAGTGTTTTATAGTTTTATCTCTTACATTTAGGTATAAGATTTTTTTTGAATTACGTTTTTATGCTTCTGCTTATTCCAGTTACTTTACTTTTCACTCTCCTTTTACTGCCAGTTTAAGTCAGAATGAGGGTCAGCCAACGAGAGAAGCGGTTGAATAAATGAATTGACAACAAAAATAGTATTATGTCACACTCAACCAAGGAAGAAGAGAATTTCGAGGAAGAAGAGAACAAT